GAACCTCTAAACCCTAAATCCCCTCAGGCCCTGCATATTGCGGATGGAAACCCTCGCTGGCGCGACAAAGCAAGGCAGAAACCCGATGCTCCTGTTGACCCCGACCTGATATATGTGGGCCAGAGAAACTACGGTTTGGGGTTTAGGGTGCAGGGTTCAGGGTCTACTGATACTTGGCTTAAAGTTCAAGGGTTCCTTTAAAGGGTGCTATGAGGGTTCCTTTAAAGGGTGCTATAAGGAGGAGCTATCAGGGTTTAGGTACTGCTACTTTTCTTAAGGTTTCCTTGTTTTATTGTAACGAAAACCTGCTCGTGTTTTGTTCTTGTTCGGCCCCCATACTCGAACCTAGCAACTCTGTTCAAATTCTTCAGGCCTCTGTTCTTTTTGTGGACCTTATAGCAACCCTAAGGAGGAGGAACCCAACAAGGAGCCTGTAAACCCCACACCCTAAACCCAAACCCCAAACCCTAAACCCTAAGCACCAAACCCTAAACTCTAAACTCAAATTCATAGCAACTTTGAGTACTCTCTCCCATAGTCACCCCCAACCCTAAATTCTAAGCACTAAACCCTAAACCCTATATTCTAATTCATAGCAACCTTGAGTACTTTCTCCCAAGGTCACCAGGATGCCGTGGAAGACCTCGGCTTCTTCCAGGCCGGGAATTTAAAGGGTACTGCTGTAAGGGGTTTAGGGTTTTGGGTTTAGGGTTTGGGGTTCCTTTAAAGGGTACTCTAAGGGTTTCTTGAAAGGGTGCCATAAGGGTTCCTTTTAAAGGGTACTCCGGTAAAGGGTTTAGGGTTTTGGGTGTTGGGTGAAGGGTTTAGGGTTTAGGGTTTGGCGTTGCTTTTAAGGGTACTCCTTTAAAGGGTGCTATAGGGGCTCCTTTAAAGAGTGCCATAAGGGTTCCGTCAAAGGGTACTGCTAGGTTTCCTTTAAGGGTGCTATAAGGGTTCCTTTACAAGGGAGCTATAAGGGTTTAGGATTTAGGGGTTTGGGGGGTTTCAGGGTACAGGATTTAGGGTTTGGGGCGTTTGAGCATTTCATGAGGGTTCGACCTCCTGTGAATTTGTGTGTGTGTGTACTGGCGCCCTGAAAAAGGCCGGAACAAATTTTTCATTGAAGCAGTATCCCTCGGGATGTCTTAATACAATTATTGTACTAGTTGTCTTGTATCCATTAACGCCTTCACAGTACGGATTGAACGTTGGGTTGATGTGGTACTGCGTCTCCTTTTACTACGGAACCTTCACCATGTAGTATTATTATTCATCCAGAATAGAAATCTAACTGTTTCCCGTCTTGGGTTGTTCGAGATTTAAGACCCGAAGCTCTCAATCCCTAAACCCTACACTCAAAGCCCTCACCCTCTGCCCTGGCCCGAAACGCCGTAAACCCTTCCAGCCCTAAGCTCTAACCCTTAAATTCTATATAAACCCTACCCTTATAACCGTAAATTCTAAGCCCCATAACCTTCTAACCTTAAATTCTACACCCTAACCTTTTACCTTAAGTTCTAAACCCTATAACCCTAATCCCTACCAGCCCTAAACCCTAAACCTTAATCCCTATACTGTAAATGCCAAGTCCCAAGTTGCCGGAAGGTGAGGCCAGGATTTCCGCGCGAACGCTCTCGTTGTCGCTTCTTGCGCTCTTCCGACCCGGTTTAGGGTTTAGGGTTTAAGGTTTAGGGTTTAGGTCTTAAGGTTTAGAGTTTAGTTTTTAGGTTGTTTTTGTCGCGTCGTAGCTGTTCTGATGTTTTTTGTTTAGTTGGAGCTGAGGGTTTGGGCTTAGGCTTTATTTTAGATGCGCAGGACACCTCGATGGAATGTAACTCAGACCGGCAGGGTCCATAGACGTGAACTGGGCAGACAGCTTCCTGTGATACTTTGCAGCTGGACCATCCTTCATCGGGTTTTATCTATATAGTTGCCTTAGATCTCGCAGCATACTTGCAAACACAGATCCATTCAGAAGTGGTTCAGGGTCTGATGTTTGGGGCTTGCAGGGTTGCGTTCTCCCAATTTGTGAAATCATAGTCTCTAAAGCCCTAAACCCTAAACCTATAAACCCTGAACAGGCCAGTCCCGGTCGTCTAAGAACTCCGATCGTTGGGTTTCTGTCGCCCGAATCCACCTAATCTAGCGAACTAGACCGTAAGACTAGCCATCCATGACCAGATACTTATTATAGGATTCGAAACAGCAAGCCGTTGCCCAATTTCATGAAACGACGAACCAGAATTCTACCCTTTGGCAGGCCGAGCCACGCTGTTTGGCCAGTTGCTCTCACGACGGCTCCGCTATGGCGGGGCGGGGATCGTTGAGGGTATGTAGGCTTAACTTGGGCTTGGGGTTCCTCTTTGAGATTGAATAATGAGCGTTCAGAGCTTTATTAAGTTTTTCGCTTCCCTAAGTGTTTAGGGCTAGTGGGGTGCAGTGTTTACAGGTTGGGGGTTTTGGGGTTCCCTCCCTAGGGGCCCAAAGTATCCAACAAATCGGTACTTGGATTGAAATCGTAGGTCTGTAGTTTGGGGAGAGCTTCCAAACTTCACCATCCACCCCAACCAACCAGAAAGCAACAAACGCCCACGACGAAGGACAAATGGCCCCCGCATGGATGGGGATCCGTGGGGGTTTACTGCCAAAGCCCCATATTGGAAATTCCTTTACAATGCTTCCTAGGCTTCTACGCTCAGCTCTTTCCTATTCTATACGCATCTTTCAGCCTCTGTTTAGGCAAAGAAGCGCGTCACAAAATCGAAACTGGTTCACTCACTCGTGAGTTGAAGCCAGGAGTCCTCAACAAAAACGACCCCCAACCTAACTAAGTGGGTGTTGATGTCTGAAACTGGCCCCAAAAAATCGATGTGACTCATGGAGTTCACCTGGTCTTTGTACATCACAACCAACCCTAAATCTTAAGCCCTAGGGGTCGGTTTTTGGGTTTAGGGTTTAGGGTTATATTAGGGACATTAGGGACATTAGGGACATTAGGGTTTAGGGTTTAGGGTTTAGGGATATATTAGGGACATTTAGGGTCCCTGATCATGAATAGACCCTAAACCCTAACTCAAGACTCGCAAATGACTCGTCAATTTCTCCCTGGACACCGAGATCCCTAAACCCTAAACCCTACAACCCACAACCCTAAACCCTACAACGCTAAATCCTAAACCCTACATGTTATCGGGCTCCTTGTTCTGACTTCCTTCTATAAGCCCTTAGAAGGGGCAGAAATTGGTTGGGGTCAGGCAAACTTACTTCGCTGCGCCCTTCTAACTTCTAACCCCTAAACCTTCAACCCTTTGTTTGAAGTCCTTCTCACCCCTAACCCCTAAACCCGACACTTGTAGCCCACGAAAGCTGCCTTTTCAACCGAGTCTACAAAGAAACCAGAATAAGAACCACCCCCCAAAAAAGACCGTAGGCTTCTTGGACTAGGGGTTGGTCTGAAGTCATTCTAACCCCTAAGCCCCAAACCCTAAAGACCCTTAGTTTCAAGTCCTTCTAACCCCAAGAGCCCCCAAACTCTAAACCCTAAACCGTAAACCCTAAACCATGAGCCCTCAGTTTCAAGCCTTTCTGCCGAGCGCTCAGGTGTGGGATCTTCGTGTCGAAGATCCCGCCCGGAGGTTTGCCGTGTCAAGCCGAGAGGTTTGACCCCGGCCTGTTTGGAAGGAGTTCTTTCAGGGGTTTACGGGTTTAGGGGTTTAGGGGTTTAGTTAGGGAAACCCTAAACCCTAGACCCTAGACCTAAACCCTAAACCCTTAGGGTTTGGGGGTGTGTTGTTTTTTACGGGAAAACAACAAGTGGAGGTTTAGGGGTCTGGGGGTCCTAGGGGTTTAGGGAAGGTTAGGGTTCGAGTTTCGGATTCAAACCCTAAACCCTAGACCCTAAACCCTAAACCCTAAACCCTAAACCCTACGGGTTTGGGCCGGGGGTCTCTAAGTCTAAAGGTTTCTAGAGTTCCAATTTCGGGTTCTTCAGGCTTAGGGGACTTTTTTGGGGGGCTTACGGTTTCGGGTTTGCTTTAGGGGGGTTTTGGAGGGTCTAGAGTTGATCGGGTTTAGTGGCTTCGGGTTTGGAGGCGTGGGGGTTTGGGACATTTTCAGGTGGGTAGTTACCGTTAATCAGGGGTTACACAAGCCATCCTGGCTCAGACATCGTGCTTTAAGGATGTTTGGGTGCTGGCTCATTGGTTTTGTTGGGCAATGGGTGTACATGGTTCATCAATCAAAGCTCGCGTGATTCATCGCGTTTTTTCCCCATGTCCCCGCGATCAGCCGATCAACCCAGGTTGCTCCTAGGATCCCCTTCGGCGCTTTGCGGCGGCATCAGCTTTCCGAAGCCAATACAGAATCATGAAAAACGCCTGGCCCTCGCTTCTCTTCATCGCTGGCAGCGCTTTGATATTCGTTTTCCTTTCATCGATATCCATCAGCGGAAGCGACGGGTTGAAGGATGCACTTGTTGATTGCCTTGGCTTTGGTGTCTGGGATACGTACACATGGTATGCACAGTAAATGCAGCACGGCGTTAATTGAGCGGAGGCTCTTCCCTTCGAAGACCCGACCACCGAGGAGCTTAGCTTGGTAGTGCGGGAGGGTCTTGTCTCGAAATACGGTTTTATGCACATGACAAAGATCTGGAAGGTCGTATTTCGCGATGAGTTCACGTGGAATTGTCGCCGTAGTGCTCAGCAGGGACCGGGAAGCTCTCAAAGATTCATCTCCGAGTGGAGCCCCCTCTGGCATGCACTCGTCCTCCTCGGCTCCCTCGCCCTGATCGACTCATGTTTCAGATTGAATCATTTGTTCTTGCTCTAAACTCTAAACAGATCGGTTGAAACCTTAGCCGGCCTCAGTCTCCTCATCCATCCCAGCCAGCAGCTGCCTGCAGGCAGCCGTGGCAGGATCGTCGTTGAGCTCCTGCCAATGGTACTCCTGCGGGGCAGAAAGAAGCAAATCTACGAAACGATCATGTTTCGGCAGCCCAATCAGAAACATGACTCCTCGCTCTCGTCTTTCTCTTCATCTTTCTCCTTGTGATTCTTTCTTTTCTCCTCGCGAGATTCGAGAAATTGGATGATCTCCTGAACCGTCTTCTCGCTGCAGCTCTGCTTTACTGCATCCTCAGCCAAAAGCCTGCGAATCTTACAAGCAACAGTTGTGTTCTTGGGCATCCTCACATTCTGAGACAAAAGGAGGTCTGACAGGGAGGCCGATGGAAGTCGAAGAATCTTTTTCGTCTCCACCAGGTAGGGGAGCAAAGTGAACTCGCTCACTCCTCTTCTCAAGAGGAGTCCACAGCCGATCTTGCTCGCCAAGGAATCCGGAGCGAGGTGCAACGTGTACAACATGAACTTTGCCTGCTGTATGTTTGCCGTACTGTTCAAATTCAATTACTGGATGAAAAGAAAATCCTGCCTCGTCGGGTCGAAACAGCAGGGTGTGGCACATATGCCTAGGGTCCGTGAATGAATGAACACAGCACACATCATCTGGGATTGGCGAAACAAACCTGGTTGCAAGCCCGGGCGCTTGGAGACATCAATGCACAATGCATTGCTGCTTTGATCATGTTGCAAAGGATCCACCTGCACAGCTGCCTTCTGGGCGTCGTTCGGCAGTCTCGTTTCATCCACCATAGGGTCCGGAAGGCCGCCACGAAAAACCCAGGGCAGCTCTTTCAATCGAATGGCCTGGGGCGTGAAGATATCATTGCTGCGGCTCAATCTCAAATTCGCCGAAGAATGCCGCTCAATTGATTTGAACGAGTTTCGGGTATCTTACAATTATAGTGACATTTTTTGTTGATTTGAGAGCTGGCAATGGAATGTTGAAAGAACAGCAAAGAATCAGAACGAAAAGCAAAAGACCCCGGACTGGTATAACAAGACCTTATATTCTGTAGCAACGGACAAGAGAAACAGAAGGGCGTTTGTATTCTAGTCAAACATAAAAGCAAGTATAGCAACAATAGCCAACTATATCACTAGCTCCATTATACCCAAAAAATGACCGGCAAATTCCCATGCTTACGGGGACCATAAGAACATAGGGGTATCCTTACAGCACACAAGCAGTCGGCCTCAGAATACGAACGCAAGCGAGCATCATAAACCATACTCGGGGACCGTCCCGTGGTCACGAAGAACTCACCATTGATCTTCAGGAGCTCACCACTTCCCAGGCATTGGGCTGCCCACAAATGCGTGCTTGCATCCAGGATATCCAAAGACAGCCTCGTATTCGACAGCAAATCATGTTTGGTTTGTTTTTTGAGGCGAGGATCGTTGCGGGAGGTCGGGGGGTGGGTGCATGCATTATGAACCGACAAGTGTCCGCTTCATTTCCATGAAAGCGCTCAAGGTGTTGAGCTGATCATGGTTGTGGTGAAAAGCACTCGTGCTGTTCATCGGCTTGACAATCTCATCCATGTTGAAATTCTTGCCTTTGTGAATCGTAATAAAGAAGGATTGCATGAACCAAACACAATTACAGGGAGGCTTGCAATCAAGAAACATGGGCTGCAGGCTTCAGGGCTCCACAATTTGGCTTTCAAGCCGGCGGTTTGCTTTCCCAGGTAATCATCAGAGGAAAGGCACAGGGGGGTCGGGCTTGTCTCATCTGTGCAAACGCGACGATCCAAGGATCTCACTGCGACACTCATCATCGCCTGCATAGATGCTCCCTCAGAGCGGTTCGCTTTTTTGAGAGCTGCCTGGATTTCGCCAAAAACACTTTCAAGATTAGCAGACCATCCAAAGGGGGGGTGCCATGCCTCGATGAGAGACCTGGCCTTGGGCGTCAGTTTGTACTGGCACTGCTGCAACATGGTGTGTATCTCGCGAAAGTTCTGAAAGTCCGTAAACCGGCATCGCGATTTCAGCAAAGCATGTGTGCGTGCACCGCTTTCCATGAAAAGCACTGTCTCCCACTCGTTCTTCATGGAAGACAACACTCGTTGAATGTCGCTCTCGTTTCCATCACCCGGAGCAATGAGTGCCGCTGCACAGGCTGGGGCTCGTCGTAGATAAAGTGTGTATTCCAGAAGCTCGTGAGCCGAAAACCATGCCAAAGCACTCATAAAGAACATTCTCTTCAGTTTGATTTCGTCGGAACGACAATTCCAGAGCCTCCCAATAAAGGGTTTAGTGCGGGGAATAGGAATAGTACTTAGGGTTTAGTGCGGGGAATAGGAATAGTACTTAGCACAAACAATGATTTATATCCGGGCTAGGTTTAATCTGATTCACGTGCCAATATAGTGCTACCCACCTGATGGCCTCGGCTCCCGCGGAGCACTTCACATCTGGCGGCATCTTCAAGCCCTCGGAACCCAGAATCTTGGCTGCCAGGCTTTGCAAAGTTCGCTCTGGCCAATTTCCATTCATCTCCAGGGCATGGCGATGGGATGCCCACATCTGCTTGCATTCTTCTTGCTTAAATGAAAAGTGCAGATGTCAGTGGAGCAAAGCAATTGAGCAGTCGTATCCGTGCGAGTCACACACACACACAGAGACGTATGTACCTATACATGGAACTATATTAATAACTACATTTACAGACACACACGTACCTACGTACCTACGTACCTACCTACCTACCTACCTACCTACCTACCTACCTCCCTGCCTACCTACCTACCTATCTACCTATCTACAAACCCACCTACCGATCCACCTACCGATCCACCGACCTATGTACGTAGTTGCATGCGTACATACACATACATCACACATTTAGCCAGGGCACGAGCTGCAGACACAAATCTCTCCACGGAGCCACGATGTCGCGGGCCACGAGGAAAATATGATACAACTCCTCATCCATCAATGCCTTGCAGGTACTCATAGCTTGGAAGCAGAAGCAGTTGTCACAGACAAGGCGTGCACATACCAAGTACACCGGGGTGCTTTGACACAAAGCTCCATGGTTTTGTCAAAGCCTTTATCCGAGGAAGATGACGGCCTGGAATCCAGGATGCTCCACGGATTGCAGCCGACCTGCAATGTCTGCTGTTAAGAAGATGATAATGGTGGTGGTGGCTATGAGGACGATGATGAACCGTGCGTTTTTCATACGAGTTTGAGTGTCCTCTGTGTGTATGCATTGAAATATGTAGTAGGGTTTGCATGTAACTGCTTATCAGTACTACGATGAGAACCCATTGCTTACCGTTGTCTGGTATTCCTATTGAGGACGGTGATGAGACATGATGATTCGTTTACTTTACGATGCTGGACTTATAATTATTGTCGATCTTGCTGTCAATAATGCCACTGCTGTTTTCGCTGCTTGGGCTTCTTTGTATTTATCCATACTTTGTCGTTCGCCTGTGTAGTAAGTATGCAATATATGCCGTCTATCAGACTTCAGCGTCACAGAGCAAGGGCCAACTACCCACGAGGACGACTTCACCAAACATTGGGTCTATAGTTCTTAGGGGTTAGCCGGGGTTGAGTAGTTACGATTTATACCAATGAATCAAGTTGATCCCCACTGAGGTTATGTTAATAATGTTAGATTGGATACTGCACCCCAATCTGGAATTGTCTAGTATTTTTGTACAAAAACTATATGTAGCCCTTAATTAGTATGACCCCGTATTAAAAACTTAAATAGACTGTTAGGGGGTAGCGGAAGTTTCCTAACCTTGGGCTGGTACGGCTTTGTTGAGCCGTGGAGCTCATCGTATGCTTACCACATACCAAGTCCTTCATTCGTCGTGCCGCCAGAAGCAGCCGGGTTTGCTCTGGTATTTTCGGGTTTAGGGTTCTGAGGGGTCTAGGGTTTAGTAGTAATAAGTGGATGTATATTTAGTGTAGATCGGATTCGGAAATTAGATTATTAATTAAGTTTGATTTAAGCAGCATCTGGTGTGCGGGCATCGTCAGCAGGAGACAATCAAAAAATTCGGAGGGACCGAACACTTAGCTGGAAGCTATCTTGGGGTCTTCAGTCTTTCTTAGGTTATAATAATAACAAAAATGACAGACTGCCTTGGTGCTAATGGTCGGGCAGTCCTAGCACGGCGGGTTCGGGGACTAAGATTGGGGTTGTAGAGTTGTAGGCCCACCAAACAAGACCAACTCGGAATTTCATAATAATCATCATACACAATCATAATTATCATAATGATCAGAGCTACCAACCCTAGTAGTAGTAGTAGTAGAAGAAGAAGTAGAAGTAGAAGTAGAAGTAGAAGTAGAAGTAGAAGTAGTAGTAGTAGTAGTAATAATAGTAGTAGTAGGGTTTGTTGTTGTCGTCGTCGTCGTCGTNNAGTAGAAGAAGTAGAAGTAGAAGTAGTAGTAGTAAGTAGTAGTAGTAGTAGTAGTAGTAGTAATAATAGTAGTAGTAGGGTTTGTTGTTGTCGTCGTAGTAGTAGTAGTGGTACTAGTTAGTGCTTGGACTTAGTGCTATTACGAGCGTTCTTGTTGCTTAGAAGAACACAGACATTATCATTCTAGGCATTGTTATGATTCGGGTGCTGGCACCTCCATCGAACTCCAGAAGAGTTGCAACAAATGGGCGCTGTACTGGTAGTTGCCTGCTGTATGGGCCCAGGAACACCATCTGGACCAGGAGAAAGACCCCTTCTTGTTCCTTGGTGCTTCCAGGGTTGGGGGTTGGGAAACCTCGTACCACAAGAGGAAAGGCTAGGATTACTGATTGCAAATCGGGATTCCGGGCCGCCTTGTCCAGAATCTCCACAGTCCTGGTAAAGTTGAGGTGTTCGTCACCGCTTTCATCGATTCCATTCCTCAGAGAGTTCGAGCGAACAGGGATTTGTGTGTAGTGGCTGCTAGGACTTTGACATTCACCGAGTCGCTCTTTCAAAATATCTCTCGCAAAGAGCTGCATCAAAGCATCGCCGGGCTCTGCCTTTGCGTAAGACTAACAGTCTTTGGGGTTCGATTGTGGGAGCCGGTTGTTAATGCCAAGAAGTTGCAACCTGCAAGTAGCGAAGACAAGCCTCAGACAAGTTGTTGCCGGTGGCGTGCGTGCCCCACGGGCTCTTCTTCGATCTAAACAGCCAGCCGGACAATTCGCACATTCCTTGGAACAGCTGGGAGCCACCACTGCCATTGCAACAACAAAAGAATTCACATATCAGCCCAGGCTCGCTTCACCGTCGGGGAGCAGCTCGTAACTCGACCGCAATATGCATGTAACTTGTGCCTTTGTCTTTAGGGCAGTAGGCTTAGGGTTTAGGGTTTAGGGTTACGGCCACCCAGAAACAGGAAAGTACAGCGTCTGCAGTAAACGAGCAGCAAAGCATCTCGATTGAGCGTCACCTTTGCATTCTGAAGTGCCATGAACTGGTAGCAGGCGTAGAGAGGCCCTCCTTCGTCCGGTGCCAACACAAGACGTACAGCCTTGTCTGCCTCGGGCATGACGGCTGCCCAGGTGGACTCACCCGTGGTCGTGCTCACGTGGAAGGCGAGGACTTCTGAGCCCACTCTGTGCTCGCATCTGATTTCATCCGCGTGGGCGGTTGGCCTCAAAGGGGTCTCGGGAAAGATGCTGTCGAGGTCGAAGTTGGCATGCTCCAATATGTTCCGAACAGCTTTCAGCTCTTGCTTCGCTGCCAGGCGTTGCTCTCGCAGTGCTCCCAAGGCCTTGGGCCTTGGCTGAACATGAGACAAGCGGTTTGACGTGAAGGGTCCTCTATGCAGCACGACTGAGAAATTGCATTAATTGTAGCCAGCTACATTTTTTTCTTGTTGGCGGCCTTCGCGTCTGGGTTTCCCAAAGAAGTTGTGGCTGATTCTGCAACCATTGCTGCGACTTCAAGTTTTTGCTGTGCTGCTGCGGAGGATGGCAAGAGGGTGCTCAGCTTCTGGGCCGTTCCCAAAGTCACGAAACTCCCCATTGTGATCAGGGGCATCCACAACTCAGTTGCACAGGCTCAGACAGAATCTCTTGCTTCTATAACTAGACAGTTAGACAGCTGAACAGTTTACGGGTGCAAACAAGGGGCGTCCAGCTTGCCTTTCGGTGAGGCATCACACATAACAGATATGTGCCGGAACAGCTGGGTCTGCATCTCCTGTAGAGATTGGGGGCCTCTAGGGTTTAAGCGGTTAGTTGCTTCAGTGTTGCAAGCACGGAATTTGCCTTAAGTGCTCATTACAGGGTTAGGGCCAGGCTTTAGTTCTATATTTCAGGAGTGATTTAGTTTAGTTGGGTCGGCGATTGCAGAGGTTCTTACTTACTAACTTACTCTTATTATTTATTCTTTACTAAAATACTTACGATTTAGTCAATGGGGTGCTCAGACCTGTTAACCGGGGGACTGAACTAGACTCAGGTTAGACTTGTTTCCTGTGGTTTGAGGTTTAGATTTAGGTAGGGTAATTAGCATTGAATCGAATCATTGAATGAATCAATGGACGGAGCAATCTATGGCCTTGTCTGGCGGTACAAATTGACAATACTGTTAAACAACAATGAATTCCAAAGCCGCAAAGCACCCGAACTCCACAGCCTTGAATCCTAAACCTTAAACCACAAACTAATATCCTAACCCTGAAGAGGACGAGGGCCGATCCTTGAACGTGCGAATCCTTGAGGCCGAAACAACGAAGTGGCTTTCGGGCTGCAAGGTTTTAGGGGTTTTAAGGTTTACGTAGGATTCTGGAGGGTTCAAGCGGGGCAGGGGTTTTCAATTTCAGGTAATTTGACATTGGGGCGATGGGAATTATTCTTATCCTGTTGCGGGGAGAAGCTATTTGGTACATAGGGCGAGGAGCACGGGACTGGGCTGTGATGGAAGCCAAGAAACCGGCGGGGACTGAGGATTGCCTTTGCCTTTTCGACCTATATAATGGAGCGTTCTCGGATCTTTACTCATGAAACGGAGGCGTCACGAGTGCGGGGAAGCTTTTGTCTAATGGGATTGCCAAGTGTGAGAGTGTTCGGAATGAATTGAGTAGTCGTGTTTCCATACAGGGTGAACATAGCTGCGATAGCATCTCTTCGGTAAATTGGTGTTGCGAAAAGTGAGAAATGTTTGTCAAGTACTATTTAATGGGGCGGTAAGACTCGGGACGTGGGTCTGTGACATCAGGGCAAGGTGTTTGGTTAAATGTGGCGGTTTTTTTCGCTAAAAGGGTGTGGGATTACATATTTATAGGCTATAAGTTTCTGGGCAATTTGGGAATGTTTTTTACAAGTTCGGTGAGGCTTGGGGGAGGAGACTTAAGTTATACTGGGTTTAGTGGTACTTAGTACGGGGCTTTTTTCCTGATTATCGGTTCAACAGAATCGGGGGATGATTTGCTGTACTTGTTCCTGTTTGGGGGTGATGGACTAGATTCGCTAGGGGAGTCCTTCTCGATCTGTTGGGCGCGTCGTCGGAGGTATCTGTGGACAAAGTCGGAGACGGTCCTGCACCGATTCTGTTCACTTATTAATATTAATTACATAGCTCAAACCCTGAACCCTAGAAAGTGGGCTGGGTAGGCCTGCAAGCATTGGGAGGAGCTAGGTCGTGAAGACCCAAGTCGTCTAGCGTAGAATCGTAGCCCATGAGGCCACCACCTTTGGAGGCAAATCTGTCGAGGGCCAGCATCTCACGAGGTTTCGCATCCTCTCGAAGTTGTCGTCCATCCCTGCAACCGGAGACATTGTAAAGCAGGAATTGAATCATTCAAGAACAACCTGTCTCCAACAGATCCGGGATACTTCAAAGCAGGATGTATCGCGTGTCCGGCAGCAGGGGTTGGTAGCACTCGTTCTTCACATTCCCGAAGGCTGAGCTCCAGCTGCTGGGCGACGGTATGAATCATTCGTCTCTGCAGCCGGGCATATGTCACTCGGCCCTGCACAGACAGGACACATACACATGAAAACTACCATAATGTAAAGAGAGAAGAAGAACAGAAGATCCAGAGTATTGGCATTGGCTGCATTAAGAACAACTGAATAATTATTGATTTGATTGGAGCTAGAGACAACAATAAGACTAGGAAGCTGTGCGGTTTTCGAGGGCTCGAGGTTTTGGTTTAGGGTTTGCATTGGGACTTATACAATAAATNNAGTAACTATATTAGCGAAATATGTAATATTTAGACAGTAGTCGTGGGATGTTTCGCAATGTCAGTGTCCTCAAGACTCTCAGCCACATCCTCGTGAGGAAGGCGAAGAAGGAAAAACATAGCCGCGTGCAGGGGAACTCCTGCAATGAATGAACCGCATCCAGTAGTTATGATTCAGCCTAAACCCTAAACCTAAACCCTAAACCCTCGGCGACTCGGCGAGTCCTGTGTTGAGGGACTGGAGCTCTGGCGACAGAGCACGAGTGGCAGACCACCTGTTCAGTTCAATCAGGAGGTGTGATCTCATAAAATGTTGCCGAGAGACTCGATTGTGTTATTCAGCCCCGAAGCCTCGAGCGGAGGTCGGCATGGTCAAGAAATCCCGCCCAATCACTGAGGAGGACTTCTCCGGATCGAACAGAAATCTTGCCTGCCAGTACAGAATTAGGGGCACCTTAATCCTTAAGCCATGCTTGCCCGGAAAGCGGGTTTCGAAGTTCCGGCTCTTGGTTGCTATGTGGCCCTCTGACAATCCAAGGCTCATTCATCTACACCCTGGAGCAGAAGAATCTCCATGTCTTTCGTCCGGATCGGCTGCAGCAGGACATCCAGCAGCGAAAGCGACTGCATTTGCATCGGTAGCGGGCAGCCACGAGTCTGCAAAGCATATGCAGCCTCGGACAAAACAACATATATATTCAGGGGATCCTCATGATCAGGTGTTGTTCTGCAATAATGTAGATTGGCAGCAGTGAATATAGCTGCTGGGGCCGTCATACCGTCAAACGGCAGCTTCAGCTTGCATGGCGTTCCCCGCTTCGCTGCACCCTTGTAGCTGCCTTTTCTGAGCATGTGCTGCAGGATGTCAACTTTCCAAGCAGCACAGACATCGCGGCTCTGCCCATCCAGCCTCGAGCTAAACTGGGATTGGAATGGAGACTCGGCTTACTTCAGGTTTAGTCTGGTGGGCTTTAACTAGACTGAACTGAACCCGTCAATGAGCAATAGCAGGGCTCGTGGTCTCGGGTTTAGGATTATGTTTAGGCGTAGTTTGGGAAGTAGACTAAGTAGACTAGACTAATTGGGATGGGGTTACATTAATTAAATTACTATTTGGCAAAGGGTTATCATTAGGGCTGGCAGTCTGCAGAAAAGAAACAACTTGGTAAACCAATTGTAGAATTTCTGGCTCCTCTTGGCCAGTGCCCAGACTTCTTCTGAACGAAATAGGACCCTGTAGCCGAGGATGTTGTCCTCGGCAGCTACCTGAGTGATTGAAAGGGTGAACAGTCGGTGGAGGGGCGGTTTTGAGCTAGCGTGAATCATGTAGACTTTCGTTGGGCAAGCAGCTTTGTGTAGTTGCAGCACTCCTTTCACAGCACCATCAATTTTCACGTAGACCACATCTGTGGCAGTCATAGGAGTTGGGCTGTTTCTCTGGGGACTCTGCTGCTCCTCGTCAGCAACGACTTCTTCGGGCTGGGATGGTTCAGCCTTGAATAGCCTCGGCCGCACGAAGATACCCATCTTGCACAGCTCCTTTCGGTTCTTGTCGAGGGCTGCCTGCTTCAGTTAAAGGTAAGAACAACAAAAACAATCAGCTGCTATTAGGATAGTAGGGTTCAGTTCTTGTATAATTAATAGTGGAGGGAATGTATTGAATGGTTATTATTGTGTGATCCATAAGAATTAGGGAAGCAGGTTGCGTTTGTATGACTAAAGACATGTACTGCGGAGCCAACCTCCCAAGTATCAGGAGCCGCCGCGAATGGAAGCTCTCGCTTCTCTAGGAAGCACATATCCACAAAGATGATCTTCTGCACAAGCTTGTCTCGAAGTGTTTGCAAAGATTTTTCATCTGCAGACCTGAGATCATTCGCTCCTAGCCTAGTCAGGAAGTCGAGAACTAACACCCTGAGTGCCGTGAATTCATTGGTTGTACCCTACACAGCCGACCTGCTTCGCTCCGAAATCTCAGGGTAGCCTTAGTTACATCCCTAAATCAGTATACTACTGATAGTAACATTAGTAAAATGTAGAGGCCGTACTAATTAGAATAGGGTTTCGGGTTTTTGTACTATTGCAATACTTAGGAAGCTCCAAAATAGCATTGGCAAATTTTAAAAGCCCCTGTACTAATCCCCCCCAATGCCACTTTGACAATTTGGCGAAGCCCCTAACTAACACCCCAAACCCTAGCCTAAACCCTATTTTTTAATTACTGACTAAATAACCCTAAACCTTTAACCCTAAACTCTAAGCCCTAAACCCTAAGTGCCACAGAAGTCCCTCCGAATCTCAGGGAGCTCCACAATCACAGGCGGCTTTAGCTGACGAAGCTTTTGATGTTTAGGGTTTAGGGATTTAGGGTTTAGGGTTTAGGATTTAGGGTTTAGGGTTCAATCGTCAGAGTTGGATAGGGATCGGAGGGTTTA